GTACAAAGCAGTGCATACTTTATTATACTATTTACATGCAACTCAAGAACAGATGAAAATTAACCTACAGTGGTAGAAATGAGAAAAGTGGGACCATGGCATGGTGGTTAAGGTAGCTGGATCCCAGATGACTGACTGTGCAGTTCACGTCCTGATCCAGTGGTTTGAGAAATGCACCAGGTGCATGTGCATGTGTACCCAAAGTCCCAAAAGAGAGAAACAGGGAAGGAACTGCAGCATGATCATGCCCCGTGGAGGATTTACTTTCTCACCTTCTCTCTCTAGAGACTGTGTGTGCCCTCAGACAAATTTAAAAAAGAGAGAGGGAGAAATCAGAAATGCATCGGAATAGATGGATTAATTGGATATGGGTATAAGGGAAAGTTCTGGGATGATGGGGATGTTCTAATTCTTGATTGCAGTGGTGGTTACACAGTTGTCAAAGTTCATCAGCTGGGCACGGAAGACCTGAGCCTCTAATCCCATTAATTTAGGGAGGCTGAGGGAGAAAGACCCAGGGCTGGTGGCTGGTCTGGGCCACATAGGGAGATCCAGAGCTGGGAGTGGAGTGCACCTGGAGTCCCAGCTCCAGCTCCGAGGCTGAGACAGAAGGTTGACCACAGGGACAGACAGATCCTGTCTTACTGTGAGACTTTGTCTTTAAACAAACAAAAACTCATCAAATCAGGTTCGAGTTTCAGGATCCCCCTGAGCACTCTGGCCAGGGTGGAGTGGAGAGACTTGCCTCCTCCTCCTGACCCAGGCGCCTGAGACCAGAGTGAGAGAGCAAAGCACGATGAACCTGTTCCAGTTGTGGATGCCTCCCCTACCCCTTATGTGTCTCTTCAGATAAATTAACTTTTAAAAAGTTCATTAAACTGTACACTTAAGATACGTTATGAACCGTTTATTAAATGTAAATTAGAACACGACGGAAATGATATATGTGTAATAAACTCACATGTAAATTTCTGATCTAAAGGGTCTCAGGTAACCAACCAGACTCCCCTCAGACCCATGAATTTCACTTCCTCTTGGCGGGCCCTTCAAATACGTGGGCTTCGTGCTTCCATGATGTGAATTCAAGCCTCTGCGATGATGCTACAAGCTGGAACATTGGACGGGTCATTTCCCTCTAGCCTGTCGACTTCCCATCACTCACACAAACGCACCACATGGGCATCCCGGCCAGCCACAGGAGAAAGTTTAGAAAACAGGTCAGACTTCTCAACTTGGGGAATTCCTCTCCTACTCACACGCTCCGCCGCGCTGGGGCGGCGGGGTCATAACTCCAGCGCTGGAATCAGCCGCCCCTTCGGGCTCCGCACATGCGCGCTCCTCCCCGTCGGGGGTCGGCAGACGCTCGCCCCACATAAAGCTCACACACCACTGGCCTGCACCCAGGCAGGCTGGAAGTAGGACTCCGCGCACCTTCCTCCGCCCAGCACATTCTCGGGAAGCCTCGCCCAGCGGCCGCTCGCACCCCAGCACCATGGATCCTGCTCGTCCTCGGGGGCAGTTACCGCTGTTGCTCTTGATGGGAGCTGCGCTGGGCGTTCTTGCTCAGGCGCTCATAGGTATTGGCCCCACGGCGGGTCTCGATTCCAGGCGGATCTGGGCCGGGCCGGGTCGGGCCGGGCGGAGAAGGTGTGACGGGCTAGCGGGGTTCTCGCACTCACTCTCTACGCGGCGCTTTTCCAAGACCCTGGCGCGCGCGGTGTGGACTCGCGCCCAAGTTTGCACTTTTCCTCTGCAAAATCTGCTGGGCTCGGAAAGGGCGAGGACAGAACTCCCGAGATTCCTCAAGGCAGATAGATGGGTCTGACCTGTTCCCCTCTCTTTTTCCTCTTCTGTAGGAAATAACAGCGAGATCTGTCTCCTGCCCCCGGACGAAGGGCCCTGTCGCGCCCGGATTCCCAGTTACTACTACGACAGGTACACGCAGAGTTGCCGCCAGTTTATGTACGGGGGCTGCGAGGGCAACGCCAACAATTTCGAAACCAGGGCAGCCTGTGATGAAGCTTGCTGGAGGATAGAGAGTAAGTGCTCTGGGGCCCGCCGGAGCTCCTGCGGCCGCCCTGTGCAGCTGTGCAGTCGCTGAGCTAATTTTTAAGATCTCATTTCTACAGTTTTAGCCTGGATTTTTCAAGGGTCAAGTCTCACTAGTTTTCTGCCTTTCAAAAGTAATCACACGTTTACAACCACTAACACAGTTCCTCTTTCCTGTTTATTCAACGCTGAGTGGGTTTAGGGAAA